ATTACCCTTGTGTATAACCATATGGTAATTTTGGGGTTTAGACCCCAGTTTTTCCCACATATTCTTCTACAGCTTACGAGAGCTATTGTAGCTTTATGTGTGAGTTTTTTGAGATGTTGATTCCATGTCAGCCTTTGGTCAAATATGACTCCGAGGTATTTGGCTTCTGTGACGAATGGGATAACTGTGCTGTTTAGTACTAGTGGTCTTAGACCTGTGCGTACCCGTTTTTTTGTGAATGGTACAACTGTTGTTTTTTGTGCGTTGATGGACAATTGTTCCTTTTTGCACCAGTTGTTCACTATGTTTAGAGCTGTTTGAGATTGCTCCAAAACTGTACCTGCAAATCGCCCCCTGACGATGATTGCTAGGTCGTCTGCGTATCCTAGGCACTGGTGTTCTTCTTTGGACAATATTTTAAGTAAGTCGTCCACAAGAACTGACCACAGCATTGGAGATAGTATTCCTCCTTGTGGGCAGCCCCGTGTAGCTTTTGCCTGTATGGTTGCCTTTCCTAGAGTGGATAAAATAATCCTGTTCTCTAGACAGGCAGTGATCCATTGGCATATTGTTACTGGGACGTTTCTCCCTTCTAGAGCCTTGGTTATTGACCTGGTTGAGGCATTGTTGAAAGCTCCTTCAATATCTAAGAAAGTGGCTATTGCGATTTCTTTGTCATCTATTGACTTTGAAAGCAGCCTGTTTAGATCGTCCAGCGCTAGGTCAGTTGACTTTCCTGGCTGGTATGCATATTGGTTGGGATGGAGCGGATTTATTTTTAGTATATCGTCCCTGATATACCTATCTATTAATCTTTCTAGTGTTTTAAGTAGGAAGGAGGATAGGCTTATGGGGCGATATGACTTTGGCGTTTGGTCTGTGATCCTACCTACTTTGTCAAGGTAGACTACTTTCGCCTTTTGCCATATTGCTGGGATATATCTCCAGGCAATACATGCTCTGAAGATTTTGCATAAATGTGGCATTAACCCATCTTTTCCCTTCTGGATCAGAATTGGATATATTCCATCCGGCCCCGGGGATTTGTATGCCTTAAATTTGTTGATAGCCCAACTAATCATGTGTGGTCTTGTGATTTCGGAGGCCAGCTTCCAGTCTATTGGAGTTGGTCTGATCCCCTTGTGATTGTAGCTCTCTTGGTCTCCTGAGTCTAGTCCCGTTAGGATAGTTGAGGCCGGAAATTGCACCTGAGTTAGTATCTCCAGACTTTTCTCTAGTGTCGTGGTGTAGGTACCATCCTCTTTTTTGAGGAATCCCACTTGACTAGATGTACTGTCTTTGGCTATAACTCTATGGATTCTAGCGCTGGCGGTGGTCTCTGAGACCTCTTCGCAGAACTTCCTCCATGAGTTTCTTTTATCCTTGCGTACTTCTTTGTTATACTCTGTGAGCTTATTTTTATAAGTAGTCCAGTCTTGTGTGGATTTGGCTCTGTTGAATAGCCTTCGCACCTCGCCTCTCAGGCTATCTAGGTGTTTATTCCACCAGACTGTTTTTCTTGTTTGGCATCTCTCTTTTTCTTGGTAGGCATCAGTAATTGCCTTGTTTACCAAGTCTACTGTCCTTTCGAGTGTTTTTGTTTCTCGTACATTGGTGGTTTCCTCCTTGAGAGACTCCTCGAGGGATTTTATGTACCCTTCCCAATTCGTCTCTCTCGGATTTCTAAAACTGTCTGCTGTACGAGTTGGACATTGTATATGGAATCGGATATGTCTGTGATCTGAACACGATGGTTCATCAGACACATGCCTGTCCCTGATTTGGTCATTTGTGCCTCTCGAACACATGGTCATATCTAGAACTTCTTTTCGGTTGGCAGTGACAAAAGTTGGTTTGTTGCCTTTATTGGCAATTTCTAACCCTTCACCTAGAATGAATTGTAATAGTGACTCACCTCTTGGATTGATGTTGGTGCTTCCCCAGATAGTATGGTGTGCATTCGCATCGCATCCTATTATGAGGTTGAGTTTCTGCTCCTCGCAATGGGCAATGATTCTGCCTAGTATTGCTGGTGGGCATATTCTCTCCTCTCCCGGGAAGTTGGCGGAGCATACAACATAGCTCTTCTCTCCCTCTTCCGTTTGGAGTTTGGAGTTTCTGCTCCTCGCAATGGGCAATGATTCTGCCTAGTATTGCTGGTGGGCATATTCTCTCCTCTCCCGGGAAGTAGGCGGAGCATACAACATAGCTCTTCTCTCCCTCTTCCGTTTGGATTGATAGCATAGCTGTAACAAAATCACCGGTGCAAAGCACCGGTATTAGTGTACAATTAACCCTGTTGCTGTATATTATGCAAGCGCGGGGTTTTTCATTCCCTTTGCTGTACAAAATCTTACCTTGTTGCGGTTTTAGTCTTGCGACTTTTCCACAAACAAGCCAAGGTTCCTGCAGGAGGGCTATATCCAAGCCTTCCGTGTCGAACGTCCTACATATTATGGCAGATGCTGCCTTAGCATGATGGACGTTCGCCTGCAGGACCTTTATGCCCCGCTGTGTATCGTTGAAGGCGCCGAGAGATCTGCCCTCTGACCTTCCTCTACCTCCATTGGGGAAACCGACTCGGGGCTTTGTGGCCTTTTGAGAGGGCTTCCGCCACTTTTGGTAGAGGGGTCTTTGGCGGACTTCTTGCCTTCTTTGCCCTTGGCGACGTTCGTCCTTTGGGCGGCCGGCTTTCTGAGGTCTGGTCTTTTTTGGCCCATTTTGGCCTTGACCTTTTGCCCCACCGGCTTTATTTTGGAGCCTTTTTGGACCGGTTTTGCCCTGTTCCTCTCCTTTTCTTCATGATCCGTTTCTTTGAGACGGAACTTTATACGTCCCATTCCAAAGTACGGTGACATGTCCAGCTTCTGGAGTTCGGTGTATGAGCCTTCGTCCACGGAGATGGCCCAAGTTTGGCCTTTCTCCATTGGAGTTGGGGTCAGAACCTTCCAGAGGTTGATTTTAAGGGTGTTGTTGCTGACCCTCAGTCTGTTAAGGACTCTTTGGGCATCTAGCCTCTTTCCACTCTCGTCTGCTATGTACGTTGTACATATGCTTGGTTTTGGGATGTCGATGTCCTGCCGAGCCTTGAGGGTTGCACCCTCCCAGGGCCTAAGCGTGGGCACCACATCCTTTAACCATTGTGCACTAAGGCTGTCTGCACAACGTACTACAATGTATCCCGGCCTGTGTGTGCATTTGGCAAAACGCACCTGTGGCCCTCCCATGGGGATACCTTCGTAGGCACTTATTATAGAATCTTCGACAGCTGTCTGCTGCTCCGTTTCCATAAGTGCCTCTGGAAAGCCGGTTCTCACCACTGCGATCTTTGTGGTGGTAAGGGCCTCTTTGAAGGTTACCCCTTCGATTTTGGCCTTCTTTTCCACTTTCCGATCTGCAGGGGGAGTATGTCCTTCCGATCTTGGCCTTTTTGTGGTCTTTTTTTCGACCTGGCTGGCCTCGGTGGTTGAAGTTTGAGCGCCACTTTAGGAACAGCACTGTTAATTAGAACCCAACAGTGAATGGTCGAGTGGGGAATCCTACCAAGGCATCAGAATTAATTTTAAATAATTAAATTAAATGAAAAAATTCCGGCCAACGGTGGGATTCGAACCTGAGACCTTCCGATCTCAAAGTCATGACTCTAACCACTGAGCCAACCCACCCCCATTATTATTATTATTATTATTATTATTATTATTATTATTATTATTTTTAACTTGAAGTGGTGAGTGAAAAAACAGTATATATCCAAAATTACCATTTTGAGAAAAACAAACAAAACTGTATTAAAGGAAAACTAAATTACGTATTGTGGAGTTATAGAATTTTTGTTAACCGATAATAATACGTAGATAAATTTAAAAAGAAAATTATGCAAAAAAATATATTTGAAAAAAATGACTTGCAGTTATACTGTTCTTTCACTCAATTTAAAAAAAATACTATAATTTTTTTTATAGCTTTATTGATTATTATTTAACAAACTTATTTGTGTTTTTTGTTCAGAATCTTCATTTTTGACTTTCCAAGAAATAATATGGTAGTGAAACTCTAGAATTTCATCACTAAAGTAAGATGAAAGTGTCTTTAAATTAGCCATCTTCTCTACGTTAATAGGAGCAACTTCTAAGTATGCCTTTTCTAATGGCGGGCATACACGCAACGGTCTACCGGAAAGGTCTACCTGTGCAGGTGTGCCTGCGCAAATTCACCGTACGATGTCACTAAAAATAATTGATTTTCGATTTTGCTTCGGTCGCCTGTGCAGGTTCAAAATACTGCACAGGTCGATTCCAATACACGCCCCGGTGTGCCTGCGCAGGCAGACCTCTCCGGTAGGTCGTAGCGTGTATGCCCACCATAAGGGTAACTGCGGGTTGGCATTAGGTTTGATCAGTTTAAAAGTGTGCAAGAGAAAACCACCTAGATACGAGTGCACTTGTAGTAACATACCCAGGAGTTTTACTAGTGTATGTAAACTGGCTGTACTGCCTTTTGTTTATCAACTGATTTGGTTATCTTTTTATAAATTTGTTACTTACATGCGCCGCACGTTTACTATTCTTTCACTCAGCTGAAAATTGAACAAGCTCCCATCGCTCGTACGATATTGGTCGGTGTATTATTCTTTCGCTGTGATAGGCCTATGAATTTTAAACAATTTGCCTATCTCGGTTAAAATTGCCATTTTTTCACCTGTATTGTTCTTTCACTCAACGATTCATTTATATTTTTTTTGTTTTTAATTTGTTGTCATCGGCTTCGACTACTAAGGCCATTAGCCTCGTGTTCTGTGCATAAAATTACGTAAATTTTTATCTACAAGAACCAGCTATAAATTAAAGAAAAAGTCGGATAGAAACTATTCAGGCCCTTCCAAGTCCTTCAAAATAAATGTCCTTTTCTCAATTCCAATCCAGCGAAACCTACTTCATCTTCTATAAAAATTAATTGAGGAACTACTAGCAAAATATAAAAGCATTTATTTACAATTAAAC